ACAGAGGTCTTCTCCTGAACCATAGCAGCTCCTGATTAAAATGTAGAGTAGTCTCCTAAAGGAAATCTAAATAACCACTGTTCACTTAGGCAAAACAATATAGTCTTTAAAATGTCTCTTCTCTAGCAAAACCTCTTAATCATCTACATGTATGAAACATTCAAATTTTGTATTTAATATGAATGATGATGATATCAATCGATGAAAAGGAAAGGCCAGAATGAATGAAGCAGAAAGAATTTGCTGTGTTTTAGTCCATTTATTGTTCAACAAAATTTTTCCGTTAGAAGGAAGGTATTTCATGTTGTAGTTAAAGCTATGAACACCTTTTTATCTGACTGCCATCATCTGAGTCAGAGACCTGACATAATAAACTATATGTGAGTTAGTACAAGAGAAATATATTAGTTTATTTCCCAACCTATTAGTTAACCTCACTGAAATTACAAATGAATAATAAATTACAGAAGAAAACAAATATCCATCAGTTATACTTATTTAACTAATCTATAAAAACGGAGATGTTTAACCTACATAATATATATCTGCATTATGCATATTCTCATTAGGAGGCTAGAGAATTGACAGTGGAAACAATAGATAATAAAAAACAGATTTTATCCATAAATGTAATTTTGTTTTTTAAATGCATTATAAATGTAATTCATTTGAAATAGCTTCCAGCTCCATGGAGAAGTAATGTGCTAAAGTACTAGAAGAGGTCTTATTATTTGCCTCTCAGGTATGATGCATATTCAGATTTTAGTTAAAAGCTCCCCAAGAACAGGTAAATACTTTATCGTATGCTTACTGTATTACCGTATTTGAGAAACAAGAACACACCAACATGTGAAGTAATCATAACGTTCGCACATTTCTGTATCTGTTAACCTGCTAAACACTGAGCAGCATACAATGCCACCTGACATTTAACCCTTAATTGCTCTTGGTAATCAGTCAGGTCTCCTGCTAAGCGTTCAGGACACTATTCCAGTGTGAGTGTGCCAGAAATGTAGTTTGTCCACCGCTTTAAGCAAGCTGCATTCCAAGCTAATATTTTAGCTCAGTTAACTTGCAAGCTTATTGAGATAATCATTAACATCTATAATCAATTATAGACACCTTTTCTTCTACAAAGTATTCGTAAATAAAAAAATAATAAAATGAGCAAAGGCAGATATCAAAACATCCTGAAAACATAATGTCAAAGTTACAGGTTTTCAGTTGCCATCAGGTGACAGAATGTGAACAGGTAACTTTCCTTTGATTCACAGCTAGAGATTACTTGCTAACGTGAATGTGCTTATCACATGAGTACAATGATTTTTATTATAAGGTTTCTAATTAAGCTGAATAAATCTGTCTAGGTAATAAGTATTTTGTTACTATGGCCAAACTTTAGGTAATTAAAGCACTGCTAATGTCAGATGTTCTTGTAGACCGCTAATAGTAATTTTTCATGGTAGTTTAACAAATTAGTTTTCCACAATACCTGATGTATATGTCTGTAGAAAACACTTAAAAGTTTCTTAATGTGAAAAAATTATATATTTAGTCAATATGACCACAAATAAATATGATAGGTATGTAAGATAAATAAGTTAAATTTTCACTACAGAAGGTTTTACTTTTGTAGTCTAGTCTTCAACATGTAGAAAATAGGTAGTCTGTTTTGTGCACCCGTTTTGAGAGAAGCCATCAAATAGGTGATACTGCATCCTACTACGTTCAATCCCATTTTTTCTACTTATTATCAAACTGTTTCCTTAAGCAATCATTTTACACTTGCTTTTTACTGAAGTCTCTAACATAAAGCAGTTAGAAGGGGACAAGTACCTTAGTCCTAACATTATTACATTATCAAATAGAATAAATATAAAGGAAATAAATAGAATACAATTTTACTGATAGTATCAAAAATCCCTGTTTCATTCATCAGAAATAAACCAATATTGATAATTTAAGGCAAATTTTCAATATTTTCATTACAGGAATATGAAAAAATAAATGATATTCCTAAAGGCAAATTCCTAACTCACAATTTTCTATTTTTTATTTTCAGGTAAATATATAATTTCACTGTCTTCTTTTAAAATTTTTTAAGAGAGTTCATACGTTCATTCTTATGATGCTATTGCTAACATTTAGCCATATTGCCAATTATGGTCCCTCTCAACAGCATTATCTAAAAGACTCTGCTTACAGACAATTCCTTAGAACATACTTTGCCTATTCACCTCCCACCTGAGAACTGTATTTTTCATTAGTCATAATCAATTATGACAAGGATGCCTGAAAATAAAAATAAAGTAATTCAACTTCTTTACCTTTTAGAATCACTGTTTCATTTGCTCTGCCTCTTGGACGTTTTTTAACAGACAATGAAATTGTTACTAGTTTGCAATTACTTAACAACTGCCTATTAGTCTGACAGTATTGACCATGTACATTTTCGGGGCTGATAATAAACCCATAACAAATCTAAATCTGAATTTTGATCCTGTTATTTAAGTTGTGAATATTCCTTGAAGTTTCAACTAGTCTACAGGTTGCAGAGAATAATAGAAGATGAGCACAACTCTACACATAAAATTAAAGAAAAAGGTCACATAAAACTTCCAAAATGCAGGACCCCAAGCAACTTGTTCACATCCTCTAGAGCAAAGTTCTCTATTCCATACAGAAATTTAGAAGTCTTATTTTCAGATTTCTGACTAAGTTTGAGTGAACAACTCACCTATAGCAGGTGAATGAATAGAATAAAAATTAGCTCTTGATAGAAATAACCTATATTCAATGAAAGTTGCAAATATTGCAAAAGGCAAAAAAACTACCTGGTTATATATGATAGTGTAGTTATAGAATATATACATCCTCTGGAGAATATAAATATTCAATATTGAATCTGCAAGATATATCTTCTATGTGGATGAGTATTATATACTCACTCATATGAATTCAGTGTAAACAAATAGTAATGGTTTATTGAGATTTTTGTATGTATTACCAAGTATAGCCGTAGGGGAAATTATTAAGAAATTTTATACTATATGACAGCCTTCAAAATTATTTCAGCTACTAATATTTCCAAACATGCTGTCTATACTAACAACTGTATTGATTATCACTTGCTTATTTAATTAGCCAGTTAGAAAAGCATGCCTCTGGGTGAAAAAAAAAAAAAAAAAATGAAATTCTCACCAGGAGGAAAAAAATTGTTAAGAGATTTGAGCATGAGAATAGGAAAAGGAAAAGTTTAGTTTAAAAAGAGATAACTGAAAAAAATACAAATAAAGTTCACAGCAGGAAAGCTTGTCTATATAGAGAATTAGGCTACAGTCTGTTAATATGTAACTACCTTTTTATAAGACCAGTCTGTTGACAGGCTTACAATCAGACTCAGAGTTTTATTTTCAAAAAGTATAGAGTTGGAGAATACTGTTATTTACGTGATACTCTGCACACATGCAGGAAACTTACTGTGGTATATTAACAAACTGCTACATTAAGGAACAGTATGCTCCAATATTAATAACCTGAACATCTACATATGAAATAGGCTCTATTTGCAAACAAAAACTATGTTAAACTGTTAATATAGAGAACTTTGAAAAGACGAATTCAAACTATTAAGAAAGCTCAATCATTCACTGGAATCATCTAATGAGAATTCACCTTAATTTAAAAAAAAAAAAAAAGATGCAGAGGAAATGAAAAAAAGAAGAAGACAGAATCAAAGTGTACATGTTGGCTATTTTACTTTCGTCCCTGATCTGATATTGGTTTCTCTAATATTTGGCCACATGCAAGCATTATTTTATTCTCAACACCCTTCTCTTCCATCGCTTCACTTCTAGAATGTTTTAATCTTTGTCCTTTCTTTTTTTCATCTTTTCATATCAAATTCAGTTGTTTGAGCGATGAACAGCTTGACTTAGCATATTTTTAACCAGCTGGTCTAGCACCTAGCTTGCATTGCATAGTCAGATACAACAAATGTTTATACAGAAGGTAGCTTTCATGAAATTGAAAAAAAAAAAAAAAGCCTGGGTATCATGCATCCTGCCTTTTTTTAGCAGTTTAAAAAAAAAAAAAAAAATCACCATACAGAATACAAAGTTTGAATTCTTTTTAATGGCAAACAAATTCTATTTATAGTTCTAAAAATGAACTTATGCTGGGAAAAGAAATCAAATTTCTAAAAGACCGCCATGTGCCCTTCCAAGAAGGCTAAAATTCTTTCAAAGCCCTGCTTCACGTGCAACGACATCAAACAGAAGGATATTGTACATATTTCTCCAGATAGGAACCGCTTGATTACAAATACACTCATCCCCATCCCGGCGAAAGGGGAAAATACAGTAAATCAAAATTGAGTCTAAGACAGCGCGTGCAGAAAGTGGCCACTGAAACTCAGAGAGGGCTCATCCCGTTTCCACCACCCCCCCCCTTTTTTTTTTTGACATTTCAAAAGTAATCTGCTCATAGATTGCTACGATGTTACATATTCTTAAAAATAAGCTGCTCCCTTGTATCAACAAAAGGTCATGTGCTTTCCTGAGTGGCTCCCAAAGTTTTAGGAACGGATCCGATAGGAACTCACAGCCTCCGTTTCAGCCAGCGCTCAAAGCCTCCTGTCACCCCAGGAACTGCCCGGCGGAGCCCCGGAAAACGGTCACCCCTCTGCACAAAAGCCCTCAGAAAGGTGCCGCGGGGAGGAAACGTGTCCGTGAAGGGCAGCGAGCGAGCGAGCGCCGGGAGCGGAGCACCGGGAGGGAGATGCTCAGCGTCCGCCGCCTTCCCTGCTGCAGGCGCAACTTGGGAACACGCGAGCCCGAGACTTCGCAGCCGCTCGCCGGGTGCGGGCCGTCCCCGCAGCAGTCAGCCGCAGGACCGCACCGACGCCCGGCTCGTCGGCAGACGGGGCGCATCCTCCCGCGGCCCGGGGCCGCCGACGGCAGAGTTGCGCCGCGAGGGGTCGGGGTGAAGGCTGCACTCACCTTTCAAACTCCTGAGGTAAATCAGGGTCAGTAAGCATGCTGGAAAAGCACAATTTCCCTTTGTCACAGCAGCCACCTATGATCGTCTCCAACTGAACCTGTCAAGTGAGTCCAAACCTCCTAAACCAATTGATTTTCTCTCTCCCTCTCCCCCCGCCCCTCCCTCTCCTCGGGCTCCTTGACCAGTCTCTTAAAGGGGTAGCGCTCCGCTCCTCCCGCACGGGGCCGCGGCTCCCCGACGCCGCGCCGGGCTGGGCGCTGGGCAGCCTGGGCGCCGGCCTCTCCCTTCAGTCCCCTCTGCTAGGCATCACCGAACGGCAGAAGTCAACTCCTTCAACACGGCTCCCATGCTCGCTCTCCTCTAAATAATAAAAGTCTCACACACACACACACACAC